AGAGATGGAAAATTTACTCTTAGTGTGGATAAAGGAGAAAGAAATGGCAGGTGGTAACATTAGTGAAGCTATAATTTGTGAGAAGGCTAAACAATTGTTTAAGGACCTTAAAGCCAAGACTCCCAGTGGAAGTGATAGTGCTGTGCCAGTGTTTAGGGGTACCTGCATGCTGAATAACACTAAGGTAAGATAAAGTACCGTATTTTTTACATTTTCCACAGAATTTTTTCAGTGTTAAGCGGTTGTAATTGGGGGCCTGGAACGGATTAATCCTATAACGAACGAATGCTATAACGAACGAGGTTCTGGAACCAATTACGTTCGTTATAGCATACCCCACTGTATGTGGAATACTATGTACGTACATATACACTTTTACTCTTAAATCACTACTGTAATGTGATACAGGTGATTAATTTTTATCTCTTGTGCAAAATACATGACGTTTATATTAAAATTATTCACTGTTTTACAAGGATTCCAGCAACGCCGGGCAGATGGGGGAGAGAGAGGGAGGGTGCGATCGAGAGGGCGTGGGGGGAGGGGAGGTAGTACTTTTGACAGTTGGCCCAGGTCTAACGCGTGTATATTTATCAGTTCTTAAGTGACTAAGCTTCTCTTATAAAAGGCCAGTGAAATGACCTGGGTGAATATAATTAACATTGCTGGGATTCTTGTAACATACTGATTAATTTGAATATAAACATGCTATAATTTGCACTAGACAAAACAATTTTAGTACCATAATCAAATTAGTACATGTGCACTCCAGCTTTGCACTAAGGTCATTTATTTCTATTACGTTTCTTTTAGTATGGTGTGTGCATGTAAATGGATGAAAATAAATGAAGAAATATATGTAAATCTACCCAAAAATGCAGTTGAAAAACTTTTTTATAAAATGTACTACAGTACTGTACACTAATGGACAACAATTTTTTTCTCTTGAACAAAATATATGACGTTTATATTCAAATTATTGGCTGTCTTCATAGGATTCCAGCAATGCAAATTATAATCTCCTAACTTTAGTCTGAGATATTATATAAGATAAAAACTGTAAGCCTAAAACCCTGGCTGGGGGGGAGGGAGGGAGGGAGGGAGGGAGGGAGGGACGGACGGACGGACGGACGGAGCCAGCCAGCCAGTGAGGGGTTGGGGTGGGGGGGGGGTTGAGGTGATAAGTTTGAGCTGAAGGTCTCTGTGTGTTTATTTAACAGTCCTACTAAGCTTCTCTCATTTTAAAATGCCAGTGATATGACCTAGGAGAATATAATTAACATTGCTGGGATTCTTGTAAGATACTGATTTATTTGAATATAAACATGTTGTAATTCGCACTAGACATAACAATTTTAGTACCGTAATCATTTATTACATGTACAATACAGGTTTGTACTTAGGTCCATTGTTACTGTACAATATTGACTAAATTCACTAGATAACGTACGCCTGGCAGCACAATCTATAAGAATATGCGATGCGTACGTGAATGTGCCCGCTCTAGGGCCATTTAAGTTTGCTACGTCCCATTAATTGAATGGGTTTTTTTATTTTAATTTTAATTGTTTATTCCTTGATAGAGGAAGCGGGATCCTAGTGCTGTCACTTGGTACCCCTGTACCATAACACCAGAAGCAACTGACCAGTGTCACAAGTATATACAGTTACGTACAGTACAGTCATCCCTTGGTTATCGCGCCTAATTGGGACCCCGCCGATAATGAAAGTACAAAACCTATGGGATTTATTCTAATTGGTTCCAGGCACCCAAGACCCAACCCCAAGTTTCCCATTTTACGACCATTTAGACCCACTAAATATATATACAATATTACCCCGCTTTACATGGTTTCACTTTCCGCGATTTCTCATTTACGCGGTACCTTGCCAGAACCAGACTTTCACTTTCCATCTACTCATATACGCGGTGAAGTATAATTTTTTTTTTTTTATTTAGCTCATAAAATTCATACAAATTACCCGGCCAAAATATAATTTACATTGCTGGAATTCTTACAATATGATGATCATTTTGAATATAAACATCATGGATTTTGCATTACACATACAAATTTTAGATCTAAAGTAATAATTTGGTTTACACAAAGCAAATATTTTATCTTTTGTGCAAAATATATGAAGTTTACATTCAAAATATTCCCTGACCTGCAAGGAATCCAGAAATGTCAATTATATTATCCTAACTTTAGTCTGAGGTATTATTTATTACTAAACGTTAAAATGTAGAGTTTTCACCCACACGTTTATCTGGTAGGGAGGGAAGGTGGGGGGGAGGGTTGGGTCCGACCGACCCAGCTGGCGTGAGTGTGAGGAGGGGGGGAGGCAAGGTGGGGTACTTTGATTGACAGATAGTGTCGTGAAGAATATTTTTTTTTTTATTAACTGAAGATATTTGTTTTAGCTCATAAAATTCATACAAATTACTTGACCAGAATATAATTTACATTGCTGGAATTCTTACAATATGATGATCATTTTGAATATAAACATCATGGATTTTGCATTAGACATACAAATTTTAAATCTAAAGTAATAATTTGGTTTACACAAAACAAATATTTTATCATTTGTGCAAAATATATAAAGTTTACTTTCAAAATATTTCCTGACCTGCAAGGAATCCAGAAATGTCAATTGTATTATCCTAACTTTAGTCTGAGGTATTATTTATTACTAAACGTTAAAATCTAGAGTTTTCACCCAAACATTAATCAGAGAGGTAGGTGCTAGTGAGCTGGGAAAAAGTGGAGATTGGGGGTCGGGCCAGTCTCTATTGGAATTAATCCCATATGTTCTGTTGTTCACTTTACGTGGTTTTCACTTTCCGCGGTACCCTGTGGGTTCAATTGACCGCATAAATCGGAGTACTACTGTATAATGTTATGGTAATTATCATAAACACACATAGGCACGGCTAGGTTTATCACAAAGTGATGAAAAGGGTACGCTTAATACTGTAGTCCACAAAACATGTAGCAATGCTTTTTTTATTTGGTCCCCCATCATACGAGTCCGTTTTCTCTCGCATCAGGACGCCTGAGTCCTCCGTTTTCTCTCTTAATCTTAGAGTGCACCAGAGACTTCGTTATTCTTAGTAATGCCACAGAATTTGAAATTGCAACCCCAATTGCAACTGTTGAGGCAACTAGATATGTCTGATTACAACAAATGTGTTATTGTCAATTTGTAGGTGAAAGATTTTATCCTCAATAGATGTAGGTTAACATTACACCTGGAGGCAAATGCTTAAAAAAAGCCTAAGGAAGGAAGCATATTCCTTTAACACATAATATCTGACCAGTATGGGGAGGATCATCGTGTCTCCGTCAGGGGGTCATGGAGTGGTGGTCCAGCAGGCGTCACGGATATTGTTTTTTTTTGGGTTGGGGGGCACGGACATATATGCGATCGGACGTTGTTCGGTCGGACGTTAACCGGCGCATGACTGTATTTGTATAAACATGTTATTTGCTGATGTCCAAGTAAAAGCATAATGAAAGGGTAGATGATGAAGTATAAATATAATGCTGAACAGGTATTTCATTAATAAATGACACTACAGGTATTATTTTTTTTATGAAGAATAAACTGATTTATGTGATGTTAAACTCCACATACTGTACACCTATACATACATTATTGTAAATGTTTTTAATTAATCCAAGTATCATTAATTAGCAGGTAGTGAGACAAATTCTCTTATTCCTAGAAAAATTAGCCAAATCAAAGAATTTTTCTGGGTATTGGTGAATGTTTCCATGTCTAAACTACACATCTGACATAGAACACCATTGCCACAGATGCTTAACTGCAGTTGGATAAATACAGAGCAGTGCAGTATTTATGCAAACGTACATTATATACCTACCTGTATACTATGGTATACTGTACTGTACTCTATTGTGCCCATCAGCAGATGCTGTCATCTTGAGCTTCTGTTGTAGGTAGGCCATTTGGTGATACAGGATGGCTTGCCTTTGTCCTGTACCATTTACTGTAGCAGGTGTTGTTAACTGTCACTCTCCACTCACTCCATGAAGGAGGGTTTGTACATAAAATCTTCAAACACTCCACTGCTATGTACAGTACTGTACTGTACACTCAGTACTTTCACACTTACTGAATGTACAGTACAGTACTGTACATAGTAGCTGTAATAACTTTTTATCTCTTAACACTGCAATAACAGTATTCTTGACTGATTGTATCGTGATACAGTAATATACAGTACTGCACTGAACAAAACTGATCATATGTCAAAACAGCAGTGAGCAAGCAAGCAAAGTTGTACAGTGGCAACAGACAATGAACTAAGAGTGTCATGATGCTAGAGTTTTATTTTTTTTTTATGGGGATTAGCCCACCCGGGCACTGGAGATAGGCTTCAAAAGGCTTCAGCCAATCATAGGCATTCCATGCAGTCACATGACAGAAGTAGCCAATTGTAATGCACGAGCACTCTGAGCCAACCTACTCATGCACTCAGCACATATCTGCATATGATGCAATCACTGGAAATTCATTTAATTACCTGAAACAGAGATATTTTTCTTGGAATGTTGAAATTTTATTTTTTTGGTAATCGAAAGTTCTGGGATCAAAGAATCTGGCTAATGGGAATAGTATTACTGTAATATAAAATATTTTTATATTATTTATGACTTAAAAATTTTACCCTTTACGTCAACTGAAAACTTATGAATATTTCATATAACTGTAATGTTCACTCATATTGGGTCATGAATCTGCCATTGTCATTTAGGAATTCATATGGCTTTCATATCCACAACAGTAACTGCAAGCAAAGTAGGCTCTAATATGGTACAAAGCAGATATTTATTGTATAGACCTAAGAATAAAGCCAACTTGCTGCATTGTGGAAGGTCAGTAAGATAGAAAACTAAGTGGTGGGATTTAAAAAAAAAATTACTTATTGATATTTTGATTCACTGAACATTTTCTTTTTCTTTTTTTAGGAGAGTTCGGGTTTGGCAAATGGATCTGCTGTGAACGCATTTGATGGAACTGACAATATCGAAATGACTATTAAGAACCAAAAGATGGGCTATGACTGGGATCCACCATCCCCAGTTGCACCAAACGGGCTTAAAAATTCCATTTCAGTACCTGGAACTCCAATCAGTGGCCAAAGTCAGAGCAGTATGAAGCCAAGCAGCAGTTTTACAAATTTACATGATATACCATCATCCTTCAGCAGCATAAGTGTCCACACTGACAAAAAACCTTTAATTTCAGAAAATGACAATATGTCATTGACCAATAATTTGAGTGCAAGTTCCATTGAAGACAATGGTGAACAGAATGTTGTTGGAACCCCTGATGTTTTGCCAAACATGAATCGTCACTTGAGCCTTGATTATAAACAAAACAATCTTGACAGTGAAGGGGTCATGGCTCATAAATGCGACTCATCATTTTCTTGAGAAAGGGCTATGCAGACAAACGTGAAAGTGATTTTCATATTATTACTTGAATTAAAAGGTGTTAATCATTTTTACATTAAGCCATTCATATTTACTACAAGAAATAAAATGTCAGAAGAAAAAGTGGTAAAATTAGTTATAGCATTTATTATATACAATTATAGAGATAGATGACAGGAATTAGCAACTTTTTAGGAATCAGAAATTGGAAAATATGATACACGTACAGTACAGGTTGGACCCCGCTAATCTGGGACCTGATAGTCCGGCAGCTTCGATGCTTTGGGCTGGTGTCATAGCCACTTCTAGTGGCTGTTGCCACTATTTTACTTTAAATACTTATAATTTACCCCTATATGTGCCTCCTAAGAGACCAGCAAGCAGTGGAAGTGGTTGTAATACGGCAAAACGCTAGCATGTAACATTAACTATTTTGGAAAGGTGTCTATACTGAAGAAATTATTGCTAATCTGGAACCGGTCTGGTCCTAAGCTTCCCGGACTAGCGAGGTCCAACCTGTATATAATTTTTATGTAATTTTTAAATACTATTTTGCCAAACATCCAAATTTATCCACCAAATTAATATTATTAATTTTAGCAATAATTTTGTGTGTAATTTAAGTACATTATATATTTACTGGCTAAAATTTGGGCCATGTAGAAAATTAACTTAGCTAATACAAGGAAGATCTGATATTAGAACTGGTAGTTTGAAATGGAAGGATAGTATATTTCTGTTAGCCTTAGCATAGAACTGGTAGTGTTCATCACTGGTGTTTAAGGGTGACAAAAATTGATGAAATTCTGTTCAGTTTCCAGTGTTGTTTACAGCCAATTATGGTATTTATTATATAGGCAGCAACTGTTACAGAATGCATATGGTGAGGTTACTGTTGTTTTTGACAAGGATTAGGTCAAAATTTTTATCTTCTCAGTAATGATGGATAGCAGATATTCAGATACAGTTCTGATGGATTCCATTCAATTTGACCTTTTTGGTCAATTTGATCGTGGTTATATTATTCAATAACTGGTTGATATACATAACAAGTATGACTTTATGCTTAAAATACACTATGGTGGATTAGTTCCCGGGAGTTTAGGGTTATGTATTATAGAGAACAGATATAATAAATTCATATTTCTTGGATAATACTTTTTAGAATCTGCATATTTGCATGTAATTTTTTAATAGTTTTTACTGGTGTTGTGACTAACATTAATATTTATTTAGAAACTGTTATTCTGAATTGGATTCATCTGAGACACAAACAGTTCTTACATTTAAGCAAGAAAAAGACATATTCTTACCTATATTTATCTCCTCCATATATTGAATAATACATGAAAATAGTCTTTTAATTTTTCATTTCTTAAGATGTCTGTCACATATTGTGGACTTGAGCAGCAGCATTTGTTGGGTTCTCATTATTTGTTGTCTAACAGTTTTTGCAGTTCTTAATTTTTAGTATTTTTATAAATCGTGATGAGTGTTAGTATACATGAAGGTTTTAAATTCGGCATCAAAATTGTCAGGTAGTTCATGAAAATCTACACTTATTTCCCGTATATTGTATTACAGTAAGCTCAGGGTCGAAAAATTTCTGTAGTCATTTGTTCTCAAAACAATATACTGTATTTATTTATTTTTAATAAATGCCCTTGAAATTAATTAATTAAAACTAACAACGAATTATTTAAACGAAAGAAGTTACAGTATTTGCATAATGTTAGAATAACAAATATCTTTTGTAAGTAATAACAACTTTTTACTTTACTTTTATCCTCTTCACCACTGATCGGCTCGTTAGCCGCATGGGCGGTTGGTCACATCTCTGTTGGCACGTAATAGGCATGCACTGGCTCCTGAGTGTGTCTGAACCTGCTCCAGTGCTTGGTTAATTCTGGTCTTGAAAGAGCTCACACTTGGTGCCATCACAACACTCTGGCAGATCTTTCCAAGAATTCACAATTCTCACTCTGAAAAAGTTTGCCCTCACTGTTTTCTGGACTTGTGGCTTCTTCAACCTTGAGCTGTGACCCCTTGTGGGGCAGGTGTCCGCCAGCTCCAAGTATGTACATTCGACTGAGTAGTGCCCTCTGAAATGTTTATACACTTCAATTCGGTCACTCCTTGCCCGTCTGTAGCTAGGCAGTGGCAGGCATTCTAATCTCTCTGAGTAGTTGAGGTTCTGTAGAGCATGCACCAATTTGGTGGCTCTCCTTTGTGCATTTTCAATCAATTGACAGTCCCTAACACTTCTTTGGGTCCAGACGGGGAAGCACCTCACTCTTGAAGATCGTGACGAGGCATGGACTATCTAGATATCTAAACTACTTTTTTATAAGACCCTCTAGTTTAATTGCTTGAGTCACCTTCTTTTCCCAGTGACCCGAGAACTTACATTCCTTGTCGACAAACACACCAAGGTCCTTTTAAACATTAGGTCACAATTAATGCAGTTTTTTTGCCCAGTTGGGACATGTAATATGCCTCCTGGCCATTGGTATGTCCCAGGTGCATCCTCTTACTCTTCATGACATTGAATCTTAGCAGTCATTTCTTCGACCATTCTTGAAACCCACAGAGATCATTTTGCAGCTCTTCACAGTCTGTTTGGTTCTTAATTTCCCTTAATAACTTGGCATCATCCACAAATATTTGTATGGAGGAGTGTATAGCTTCTGGCATGTCATTAATGAAACGAACAAACAACAACAGGCCCAATACACTGCCCTTTGGTACCCCACTTGTCACAGGTACACCTGACGATTTCGTACCATTAATCACCACACACTGCTTGCGATCATAGATAAAGTCTCTGATCCACGTTGGGACACTTCCCCGAATCCCGTACCCTTCCAGTTTAATTTTCATTTTTTCGTGTCCAAACATCCAGTATCTCGAGTAATTGTGTTAAACAGGAGCATCCCATCGTAAAACTGTGTTGGCAGTCCTTTACTTGGTTGTTTCATAGTAGATGTTCCACCATGGCATCTCTTATAATGCTAGCAAGTACTTTACATACTATGCTGGTTAGGCTCACTGGTCTATAATTATTCGTGGAGTGACGATCGCCCTTCTTGAAAATAGGCTAAAAGAAGAGAACAGTTGGTGTTGTACAGGAGTTAGTTGTATGGTTGAGGTAAAGCTTCAAGAATCAATGCCTTGCTGCCTCACACAACTGTTGAATATATTTTCCAGTTGTGTGAGGCAGCAACAATAAAACCTGTAGTTTATTTCTCAGTGACCATAAGGGAATTGTTTTACTTTTGCCAGAATATCAAACCACTTTGTGTAAGCTTTTAAGTTGTGTGTATGTATGTATTAATGTCTTTTATGTTGAGAAATGTTGTGTGTACGAAGATGTTTGATTTTAGTGTTCACATGTTTGCCCTTACCCACCAATACACATGTACTGCCATATTGAACAAATTGTCTTAGAATGGTGTGATTATGAATAGAAAAAAAACAAGGTCCCAAAGTGCAAACATTCAACACCACTCGACACATGATTTCTTTTTTAACACATGGAAACAATTATATGCAGTACGTTATAATATTATACTTTATATTTACTTTTACACACACACACATATATATACTGTATACACATTATAATTATTCACACACACATGCTACCCACACAAGGTAAAAAACTATATGGTATATTTACTTACCCTATAATATAAATTAAATAATATAAAGTAGGTGAGATTTATATTTAGTGTTAGGATAGTTTATTGGGAAAAAAGTGGAAGTGGCAGTGTATACTTGGTAAAATAGTGCTGTGATAGGGTCTTGGTCAGGAAATAAGATCACCTTTAATGTATATAATGTATCTACTGTTATATTGGTGTAAATAATGTTTAATTCTCTGTTTAAAATATTCTCAAATCATATACAGTATATAAAATATCAAGTATTCTTTATCAGGAGAAGGCACAGCTAAGAGTTCCCAGAATAAATGAGTTTCCTTGGTGGTGGACCATCATTTGTTTTTTTCTATTTAAGTGTACCAGTAGATGATTGTTTCTTGTTCACTTCTAACTTGCAGAATATTTTTGTCAGTGGGTCATGTTCAATGTGTGACATTTTTTTATGTGCAGTATATATGATCACAGATATTTTTAGTCACCTTTCATGTGCAGTTCATTTGGAATAAGGCAGTATTTTAAAAACGTGATTAAAGTTATGATATTCATAATCATAAAATTAATTAATTCAAGGGTTGAAAAATAATTTTGTATGGATTTTTTGGCTTCCATATGATTTGTGTGAAATATTAGCAGTGACATTTAAACTTAAAATCAGTTATGTGGTTTAAACTGCTTTTGTGCCTTCCTCCTGACTTGATATTCATATTGGAATTAGACTGAGCAAGACCACAAAGAAGCAAACACGGGTAATGGAAGCTGCTAAATAGGAACAGAGCATTGAAAAATAATGTGCTTTAGTAGTTAAGGGTGTACAGTATATTGCATTTACTTGTTGAATTCCAGTATGGAGTAAGGAAAATTTTAAAGTTTAGGGTAGAATTAATTGTTTTAACATGTGCTTTAGTGTGTTTGAAATATTGTAATGATTATATTTTCACATGTTATCAAAAGTGCAAATATGTTGATTAAGGGTAAATATTGCTACATCAAATGCTTGTGATTCAGATGTTTCCTCAGTAATTTAGTTTTCCATGTATTAAAGACTTTTAACGTTGAAAGATATTTATATTACAAAGATATATTAGTATTTCTGCCCTTCAGAGAATTTGATGTGAATTGGCTCCAGTATAATAATACAGGTTGACAATCCCTTATCCGAAATCCTTGGGACCAGATGCATTTCGGTTTTTGGATTTCAGAATGGTGAGAATTTATTTTTTTATTTTATTTTTTTACAGGGATCATCCCACCCGGGCACAGGTCACTGACCCACATTGGGGCCTGGGGGCTAAAATATAATAATAATAATAATAATTATGATAATAATAATAATAATTCATAGGTCTAGGTAGTGTTTCTCACTTTTGATGTTATTTTCATTCTTGTATTTATTATTATTATTATTATTTTATTATTATAGTATTATTGTTATTATTATTATTATTATTATTATTATTATTATTATTATTATTATTATTATTATTATTATTATTACAAGTATTGTTATCATTCTTATTTTATTTTTGTGTATTTTTTATTAAAATTTTATTTACTATGAATAATTATTATTATTACTGTACTGTATTATCATTATTATTATTATTATTATTATTATTATTGTTATTATTATTATTATTATTATTATTATTATTATTATTATTATTATTATTATTATTATTATTATTATTATTATTATTATTATTATTATTATTATTATTATTATTATAATTATTATTACTATTACATTTTCACGCCCCAGGCCCAGGTGTGGGTTAGTGACCTGTGCCTGGATGGGCTAATAATCCCCCCCTCGCCTCCCCCCCCCCCAAAAAAAAATTGCTCCACAAAAAAACTTTCGGTTTTCGGAATTTCGGATAAAGGGTTGTCAACCTGTACTCATTCAGAAACATTTAAAAGTAAGTTACTCAGTAGCTCATAATAGTTCTTAGCATTTAATTTTGAATTACTGCAACAAATAAATCTTCCTATATTTGCAGCTCAAGTATGACCTAAGATTGCCAGTTTCTGTACTTGAAGTTTTATTTTAAAAATATTAGTTTACCTTTACTTTTCATGCTCTGTTTTTGTGAATACTGTATTTTCAGTATATTTTATAAATACTGTATGGTACATACCTGGTAATATTTACCCTTAACAGAAATATGTCATATACTGTGAAATAAGAAATAGCCGTTGTGAATTGGTACAGGCAGTCCTTGAATTACGACCGTCTGACGTACGATCCTCTGCACATAATAACGGGATCCCAATATTCATTCCTTACCAAAATTTGTAATTAACATCCCATTTTTTGTTTTTACAATATTTTCATTATTCTATATTGTTTAACATCAATTTATTTACATTATTTGTTATGTATGGGATATTATTGTCTTTTTGTATGGGCAGGGTTGTGCTTTAACCTAACCTAAACTGGAATTAACACCTCCTGTATATATTTCCTTCAGGTTGTCATGATATTTACGAGGGCCATTCAATATGTAATGAGACTTTGATGTAGACGGCAAAGGGGAGGGACAAGCGCAGCGTTCATGTTACGGCATGTTTAGACATGCATAAGATACATCTTCATCTGTTTGTTTCGTCAGTTCATTCAATTAGTCTCAATTAAGTGTTGCATTAACGATGAGCGCTCCACTTGAATTTTGTACTTTGGAAGAACAACGATCTGTTATTTGTTTTTTAAATTCAGATGGGATAACACCAAGTGAAATTCGACGCAGAAAGTCACTGCAATACGGAAACAATTGCATCAGTTGAGCAAACATTTACAAGTGGGTTGAACATTTCAAGCATGGTTGAACAAGCGTAATGAACGAAGATTGTGCCGGATGACCTGTCGAAGTTTCAACACCCCACAGTGCACAGTATTCACAGGAAATGATTAGAAAAGTGGGCTGGGAGATTTTGTTGTATCCCACATACAGTATAGTCCAGATCTCTCAACATTAGACTACCATATGTTTGGTCCTCTCAAAGCAGCTTTACGTGGAAAGGTTTTTCCAAATAATGAAGAGATGTAGAAAGAAATATGAAATTGGTTACAGTGTCAGCCGAAAGAATTTTTCGCCACAGGCTTAAGAAAACTCGTAAAAAGATGGGGTAAGTGAATAGCTGTAGAGAAAGATAATGTGGATAAATAGGTATGTGATCATTTATAATTAATAATTTCTTCTGCAGTTATATTCATTTGTCTCATTATTTATTGAA